CATCCATCTGCCCACTCCCAGACTTTTTTATGAAAAGTTGTAATTCAGCTTGGCCCAAGCTCAACTTTGCAACTTTTCCCCAGCATCCGTATATATCATCCAATATATTATTGATTTCAGAGAAGAAGGGAGGGGGGAGAGAGAGACAGAAACATCAATGACGAGAGAGAATCATTGATCCGCTGCCTCCTGCATGCCCCGCACTGGGGATCGAGGCCACAACCTAGGCATATGCCCTCGACCAGAATTGAAACTGGGACCCTACAGTCCACAGGCCCGATGCTCTATCCACTGAGCAAAACCAGCTAGGGCCCCAACATCCAGTCTTTATAGATTGTAGCAAGTCCTTAGCCACAAGCGTTAGCCTCTGCCGACTAGGTTCCTAGATCCTGCATTTTATTTGAATATGTTTTGTTATTCTAGCAAGGTAAATGTGTAAGCAAGTATTCCAAATAATGAGAGGTTTCAAAAAATTGTCATGTAACACATTTCTGTAATTTGAAAGCTGTAAATATTTTCTCGGACTTTCATTTTAGCCTAAAGATACCCAACAAGCACTTAGTAGAAAAGCATCAGCAGTAAACATGGAGAAATTCAAGAAGTTCGCAGCCCGGAAAAAATGGAAAGTAAGATTATTTGACATGGAGGGATTTGCTGATTCTATTTCTTGTGCATTTCCAACAATTGTATGAGTTGATAGTCACATTGTCTACCATTACCAGCTTGCCTGGGACCATGGACACAGGGCAAGACCCTTACATACTATGCATCTCTTGGGGGGACGTGCAAGGGTTTTGCTAGGGTAAGGGCTAATTCCTCAAAAAATCAAGAACAACATATTGAGAGGAAAAGGGATGTAGGGCATCCAGTTCTGTAGTTTAATAATGAAATGGAGAAGGAGACTTTCTCTCTATCCTATTGTCTTGATGCGTAAGACCTATAGAATTATTCTTTAAGCAAATACAATCCAACCTACGCGTGGGATGCCTGCCCCCGAGAATGCATGTTATCAGCAGTGAATGCCATCTCAGAGACTGTCACTTGCACTGATTTGAGTATTGTTGCAAGCTCTCTCTCCTCCTCCCCCCCTGCCTTTACTTATCCTCTTTTTTTTCTTTTTTCTTTTTTTAAGCAATCAGTTCGCTTGATATCACTGTGCCAAAGATTATCCAGGTCGTTCTTGTCCAGAAGTAACATGAGTGTTGCCAGAAGTGATGATACTCTGGTAAGCAAACTTGTTTGCCTTGGTGAGGTTCTTTCTTAGCACTACGTATAGAAATGTTTCCGGAACCCTCTACCAGCATATCTAGGTTGTTTGATTTGTTCGACAACTCAGAAAACCTGAAATCATGTAAATGTCAGACTTACCATTCCTCGTCTCAGGTTAGGGAGTTGGGATGGCTGATATATGTACTCTGTTACTTCTTCGTCCTTTTTTCTGTATTTTGATTGGCACTATACCTACTTCCACCCATTACCTCTAACACTGCCACCCACCTCCTCCCACACTAACAGTTTGATAAAAGAGACGCTGGTCAGTAGAAGAGGGAAGAGCTCATTTTAATTTTTATTAACTGAAATGGGAGCCTTCTATTGCCACTGACCTGGGAGACTCTTGGGTTGTAGTAGTACAAAAGGGCCAGATAATCCTCCCCCTGAACACACACTCACACTCCCCACAAAATCAGGGGAAAAGCAGTAGGGCTTGCTGGTGTAGTTTGTGGTAGACCAGAAGGCTAAACCCACTTGCTTTGTTAGCATTGTACCGACTGTCCAAAGCCCTTGAGAACAACTCCATAATTTTTTCCCTTTAATCCAAACTGAAACCTAATCACAGATTGACTCTTCAGATATGACTAGACATATTTGAATTCAACAAGACTTTGCTCTGACAGTCAGACAACAGGGCTTTGTTAACCCTGGAGGTAAAGGGAACTCCAGGAAAGGCAGAAAGGGTGATTCTGTGGGAACCAGGCCACTCCTGTAACTGAATAGTCGGCGTTTCCTGAGTGGAATCTGGGGATTCCAAGGGCAGGATCACACATCAGCACACACCAGCTCTTTCATTCTCGCCGCCCCCCACCCCGCCCACCCCGCAAAGTTAGTACTAGTTTCCCTGAGGCTCAAGCTGTAGCCTTGTAGTGTGAAAAGAGATTGTATATGTTAAAAAGAAAAAAGAAGTGGGAGAAAAGCAAGGTAGAAGAAGGGAGAGGAAGGAGGCGGAGGGCTGGATTTGGGAATAGTGGGTCCAAAGAAAAGATAAAACTATTAATATAAGATAATGAGAATGATTGAATATTATACATTAAAATCATCCTGAATAATCGGTTGGGAGAAATGACATTTATTGCAAGAAAAGTTTAAGGTAGAAGAGGAGCCCAGGCCGTGTAGGAACTCCCGGTGGGAAGACTTCTTCCTCCCAGACCTTGGGTTCTCATTCATCCCAATATCCTGCGAATCCCAGGACATGTTAGAGCACGCTCTTTGTTGTCTCTCTCAAGGATGAGGAAGACTCCTTTGTGATGAAAGCCATCATCCATGCCATCAACGATGACAATGTCCCAGGCCTGCAGCACCTCCTGGGCTCATTGTCCAACTATGATGTTAACCAACCCAACAAGGTCTGATCCTGTTCTATCAGGGATAGTGGTGCCGGTGGGAGGGAGCTGGGGGAGGGTATGGGACTATGCACCTCCAAGTCCCAGGGGGAGACCCTGTCTGCTTCCTCATTCTCCCTTCTAGTTGCAGGCTCCATACTGTGGAAAAGCTCACTTCTGTGTGGAGAGTGAAATGACTTAGACATAAGGTCTTTTTGCATTCAGTGCCTTTCTTCATGCAGGGCCATTCCACATGCACCAATTACACCTCTAACCATGAAAATTTATTTTTAAAAAATATTTTTATTGATTTCAGAGAAGGGAGAGAGAAAGAGAGAGAGAGAATCATCAATGATAAGAGAGAATCATTGATTGGCTGCCTCCTGCACGCCCCCTACTGGGAATCGAGCTTGCAAGCCGGGCATGTGCCCTTGATCAGAATCAAACCCAGGACCCTTCAGTTCTCAGACCAACGCTCTATCCACTGAGCCAAACCAGCTAGGGCTAACCATGAAAATTTAAAGGACTCATCCCACAAATGAAAATGTTACCTTTTGATTGTGAAACCAAAAGAGGAAGCATGCTGTGTTCTGACTGTCCTCCGTTCCTGTTATGTAGCAGTCCTCATGCACCTGTTGAGACAGGAAGGTGTGTGGGATAGCAATGATAATTCGGGCATTTTTTTCCTACCAAACCTGAAAAATGGTTTTGTTTTGTTGTCTTGCCTATTCCAGCATGGGACGCCTCCGTTACTTATTGCTGCTGGCTGTGGGAACATTCAAATGCTACAGTTGCTTATTAAAAGAGGCTCAAGAATCGATGTCCAGGATAAGGTATCATTCTGTCTTATTGCAAATAAATTAATTTTTTTAAGTATTCCCAAATGCCTCTGATCTTAGAGGTAACAGAAAATAACATGTATCTCTACTTCAGTTTCCTACAAGGGAAGCTAAATTGCTGAAGTAGCCTGGTCCAAGCTAACAGGTGTTGTAAAGCAAGAGGAAAACGTTGATCTTTCCCTGGGCTCTGTGTTTGGGTATCAGCCATTCCTTGTTCACTACCCTAGACGTTTCTCCTCACTGATCACTTACGAAACAGTGTTATTTTAAGATGTCACAGTTGGGAAAGTTTTCATTGTCTAATTCGTCTCACCTGAAATGCATTTGCCCACTGGTTTATTAGGGCCACAGGGAAGGATGATATGCTTTGAGGTGTAAATCGCATTGGAAGTGTAGGCACATTGATTAACAGCTAATAGTCATTGTAATGGATCTGTCCTCCGCTTCTAAAGACTTTCAGCAGAGCTGTAAAAGGACTAGATCTGGCCCTTGACAATATAGGGACTTCCAACCAGAGGTTCAAGTGAAGGTTTTAAGAAAAGAGAAACACCTTTTTATTTTGATGTAATTCTAGAGTTGCCAAAAAAAATCTGCAAAGATAATACACAGAGCTCCCTTATCCCCGCCCCCCAGCTCCCCGGAATGTTAGCATTTCACATGATCTCGATCCCTATGCAAAAATAAATGAAATGGGGTGGGGGAGGTTGTTCCCCATGGAAGGTGCTTCTGTGGAGTTTGCCGCCACGGAGGAAGGCGAGTAGAGTGTGTCTGAGTGACGTGCATTCAGATCCCTCAGCTCTGGAAGTGTGACTGCACGCTGGTTTCTGCACAGGGTGGATCCAATGCCATCTACTGGGCCTCTCGGCACGGCCACGTGGACACCTTGAAATTTCTCCATGAGAACAAATGCCCTTTGGATGTTAAAGACAAGGTAAGGCCGCTTTTCTTAGGGACGGGGGAAGTACCAAACGGCTGCATTTGAGCCTCGTCTTGTCACGCACATCAGGAGCCAAAGAATAAGGATTCGGGACCCAAATCTTCCTACAGAGAATTTAATCTAGAAATTTGTTTTTGTGGCTTGGTCTAATGTTAAAACCTGCTTTTAGCTGAAATCTGCCAGACAGTTGCCATGATACGCAAGCCGTGAATTAATTTGCATGAGTTACATGAAAACCCTAAGTTCTAATAGAAGGACAACCAGAAAGAGACCCGAGTCCTGAACCTCACGTTGGCTCACCATGTGCGTGTCTCTTGACCACACTCTTCATCTCTGAAGTGGCTGACAGTGCTGACCTTACAGTCACTGGCACTAGGAGGATTCATGAGACAATGCATGTAAAGTAAGGCTTTGGGGGGGTCAGAGGTTATAAAATTATTGACTTAGGAAGATACCTTCCTTTCACATACTCGGGTTTCATTCAGTCCATCCCACAGTCCTGCACCTGCACCAAGGATTCCTACCTTCTCACCCAGGATGGGTCCTACTGTGCATCCCATCTCTGCTTCTAACACTTGCCGCGTAAGGTGTCGCATTTGGTCAGAGCTGCCACACACAGTCATATGGATTGTGCCCTGCACCAATCTAAGAACAACATTCACATCATAGACAAGTGTATTTATCATGGCCTTTTTCTGTCAGGTGGCAATAAGGTATCTCGTTTTGCTTTGTTTTAATTAATTTATTCTGATGGGTTTTTTGGCAGCTCTACGTAAAATACCTTAAGGAAGTTGCTTCTATTACTAATTCACTGAAAGCTAATAGTGATGTTTTAAAATCTCTGAGAGTATAAGAAATGAGATTCTAAACATGGACGATGAAATCAGAAACATGTTAGTTAACAAAACTGTCCATTTACATATCTGCTGGGTGATGAACCTAATATTAAAGAAAGGAGTTTTGTGTTTAAAGAAATCACATAGCTGGAAGCAGCAGTAGATACCTGTGAGAACAGCCGTCATAGCCCAGGGAAAGCCGTCTCACCTGGGGTTGTATGACAAACAGGGTGAGCCCGGTATATGGGTTTAACACCAGCTCCGTGATGGGCACGCCACCCGCAGGGTCCCTGGCCCAGGCACTATCTGGACAGAGGGAGGTGGGCATTCCCCGAAGGAAGGAAGTGGAGCCAGGTGTGTGTGGCCGGGGCCCCAGTCCTATGCCTTCCAGTCCCCACAGCCTGCTCCCGGGGCGCTCTGAATCTCTGGCCGTTTCTTTTGCAGTCTGGAGAGACAGCCCTGCACGTGGCGGCTCGCTACGGCCACGCCGACGTGGTTCAGTTACTGTGCAGCTTTGGCTCCAATCCCAATTTCCAGGACAAGGTGGGTCATGGTCGCTGGTGTCCTCCCTTCCTTCTGCTCTCTGCACGGATGTACAGGCAGACAATGACATGGCCCAGTCCTCCCAGTTTTATCCAAGTTTCTGCTTTGATTCCAGAGGGCGGGGCCTCAAACAGAAACACCACCTAACAGCCATCTATTTAATCCTCTGGACAGCCCTATGAGTTGTTATTACTGTTACTGTCATTCTCATTTTACAGAAGAGGAAACGGAGGCAGGGAGAGGTTCAGTATCTTGCCCCGGCTCACACAGCTCATAAGGGGAGAGCTAGGGTTTGGGATTCGAAACCACAGGGTCTGGTTCCAACGTCCCTGTCAGTACCCACTAACTCCAATGGCCTTGCGTAGGCAGACATAGGTGTCTAATGATGCTGACCGTGAATATATACAGCCTTCCAACCCACGGCCAGCCCTCTCTTTGACTATTACAACATGCTTACCTCCGTTACTTTTATTTGCCTCAGCAATAATATGTTTATGTGACTCATCTTTGTCAAATGCATGGCAGACATGGTGAGGCATCAGATTGCTATGAGAATTCTTGTCCAAAGAAGTGCTCTCTAACCTCAGATGAAGTAAACGAAGCACTTTTGTAAGAAAGATGCTAAAATTCCACCTGCACTGGGGCTCGATTGTCCAAAAGAGCTGAGCTGTCGGTTCCAGTGGGTTCCTTCGTCGTTCAGATGCTGACAATGCCACATGCATCCAACGCACAAGCGTTGAGGAGACAAAACTAACGAAGGAGAGGCCTGTGTCTATTAATTTCAGACTCACGTTTCACTCCAGTAGCTGTCAGCTCACTCTCTCCATTGCCTTGACTTTGCTGCCGGGCTCAGCGGGGCCTCTCGCCTGGCCTGCGCTTCCTCTCATGTTATTGCACTTGTCGCCTCGGCAGGAAGAAGAAACCCCTCTGCACTGTGCTGCCTGGCACGGCTACTACTCTGTGGCCAGAGCCCTGTGTGAAGCCGGCTGCAACGTGAACATTAAGAACCGGGAAGGAGAGACGCCCCTCCTGACGGCCTCCGCCAGGGGCTACCACGACATTGTGGAGTGTCTGGCCGAACACGGAGGCGACCTGAATGCCCCTGACAAGGTGCGTTGCGGGTGAATGCATCACACTCGCCGAGAAGTGATCTGGGGGTCTGGAGGGACCACAAGCCTTCTGCAGTGAGTTTACCCAAGAGGAACTTGAATGCAGCAAATTGTCATTATCCTTTCTCTTCTCTGTTTCAAAGATTCCGTGAACTTTTCTAGATTCTTTTTAATAATTAATATTCACTTGTGGCATGGAGCAAAATTTATGAATTGGTCAGATGCCTTGGGTCTCTTTTATTTTAGCCTTTTCAGCTGGGAGCGGGTACAGTGCTGATCGCTGAGCCCAAGACAATCCTCATTTAGGGCTAAAATTGGCAGTGCACTATTAATTGGTAGATAAACAAAGAAATAGGTGGCTTATTGATTTCTATCACCTGCTATTTTGTAGAAACTCGGTCTAGACCAGGTGTCGATTTTTAATTAAGCAAATTCAACGTGATCTGTTTTTATTGTGAGCTTGTACTTAAAATGAGGCCGAGATCTTGCCATATATAGTTAGACTTGGACACTGTGGTTAATTTAGTAACAGCCATTTGTTATTTTCTTGGTACAGAGAAAAGGTTCTCAATAGGGGGCGACCTTGCCCCCAGGGGACATTTGGCAATGACTGGAGACATTTATTGGTTGTCTCGGGCGTTACTGCTGGCGTCTAGTAGGTAAAGACTGGTGGTGCCTCTTATATCCTCCGACTCACAGGATAGGACCAAAATGTCAGTCTGTGTGCTGAGATTAAGAAATGTTTCTAAAACCCTCTACCAGCTCCTGAACTCAATACCTCTGCTCACCAGGGATTCTGTAAAAGGTCCAAGGGCTCCTCAGGCTGGTCTTTGGTGGCACGCAGAGAGTAAGCATGTCATCTTTGCTTTTCATACATGTGACAGCCCTGGAGCAAATCCCTTCGCATCACTTTCACAGCTTCTCCTGGTGTAAAGATTGCTGAGCAAATGTTCTTAAAGGTATCTTTTGACGACCTGAGAAAACAGGCCATTGGCGTGCCTGGTACTTAAGTCCTGTACAGGCACAGACAAAAAGCAGCGTCCAGCCTGTCCACCCGATTGCACCAGCCCAGCCTAGGTTCACCGCACCGATGGTCCGCAGCGTCTGATTATTCAGAGTGGGATGTATGGAGCCTCTCCCCCGCCCCCCAGGAATACATGTGTGGTCTCTGATCCTCCTTCAGCCTTTGCAGTAGGGAGCCTTTGCCAGTTAAACCCAGCCCGGTGGCGGCCGGAAGGGGAGGCCAGGCCCGCGTGCCCAGGGGAAGTGCTCATGGCCCTGGCGTCTGTTGCAGGATGGACACATCGCTCTTCATCTCGCTGTGAGGCGGTGTCAGATGGAGGTCATCCAGACTCTGCTCAGCCAGGGAAGCTTCGTCAATTTCCAAGACAGGCACGGCAACACGCCCCTCCACGTGGCCTGCAAGGACGGCAACGTGCCCATTGTGGTGGCCCTCTGCGAGGCCAGCTGCGATCTGGACATCTCCAACAAGGTAAGGCCGGAGAGAGCGACCCCGGGAGGGCCCCCTGACCTGCTTCCGGGTGTTGTCCAGATTCTCTTTGCATCTCTTCATTGTTCAGTCGGTATTCCTCCTGTGGACCTTATCTTTTTCTTTTCTTTTTTTTTTTTTGGTTAATATTCACCTGAGGATATTTTCCGTTGATTTTTAGAGAGAGTAGAAGGGAGGGGGAGAGACAGAGAGAGAGAAACATCCACGTGAAAGACACACATCGATTGGTTGCCTCCCACAAGCACCCCAAATAGGGTCGGGGATCGAGTCTGCAACCAAGGTACTGCCCTTGACCAGAATCGAACCCAGAACCCTTCAGTACTCGTGCCAAAGCTCTATCCCCTGAGCCAAACTGGCTAGGGCCATGTTCTTTTTCTTTTCTTTTTTTAAATACATTTTTATTGATTTCAAAGAGGAAGGGAGAGGGAGATGGAAACATCAGTGATGAGAGAGAATCACTGATCAGCTGGCTCCTGCACACCCCTCACTGGGGATCAAGCCTGCAACCCAGGCATGTGCCCTGACCGGAATCGAACCTGGGACTCCTCTATCCACTGAGGATGCTCTATCCACTGAGCCAAACAGGCTAGGACGGTTCATGTTCTTGTTCATGAGGCTCTCCACTTTCAGTCATAGCTTACATACGACTTTTGAATAGTTTTGTAGAGTAACAGAAATTATTGCATTAATAAGTACTTCCTGCCTAACCTGGTTACTCCATATGGGCATTGAGAGACAGACACAGAAACCATCCACTTGTAGAGGAATCCGAGAACATGGTACAAAATTGGGGTGTCTTTCTGGAGCTCTGAGTCTTCAGGAAAACACCTCCTGAGTTCTGATTTGATTGGCATTTCCAGGACCAGATTTCTCCCCTTAGCTTACCCCCACGGAGAGTTTTATGGTCAGAAGTTCATTACACCTTTTTCTTGGTGCTAAATAAATTTTTAAGACCAAAAGGATGCTATTATTTGGTGAATAAAAAAGAAATGCAGCCCTAACCGGTTGGCTCAGTGGATAGAGCGTCGGCCTGTGGACTGAAGGGTCCCAGGTTCGATTCCGGTCAAGGGCATGTACCTTGGTTGCGGGCACATCCCCGGTAGGAGGTGTGCAGGAGGCAGCTGATCGATGTTTCTCTCTCATTGATGGCTCTAGCTCTCTATCCTTCTCCCTCCCTCTCCCTTCCTCTCTGTAAAAAATCAATAAAATATATTTTTTTTAAAAGAAAAGAAATGCAAATAATTTCAGGTTCCTAGGTGGGTTTTTTAAATGCTATTATGTTGACTTTTAGAAGTTAGCTAACACTTCCCCTTCCCCTAAATGCCATCTAGATTTTCATCACCAAATCAGGTGGAACAGTTGACTATTCAGTTGGGTTTGACCCTGTGACTGTATGAGTAGCAAACACTATGCTGTGAAGATAATGTGAAAAACAAAGTCCAAGGGAAGCTATTTTGATTAATTGTGGGAAATGTTTTTCTTGTTGTTTGTGTTTTGTTTTGTTTTTTTGGTTAATCCTTACCCAAGGATATTTTTCCCATTGATTTTTAGAGAATGTGGAAGGGAGAGGAAGAGAGATACATCCGTGTGAGAGAAACACGTCCATCGGTTGTCTCGCCCACGTGCCCCAACCAGGGCTGGGGATCAGGCCTGCAACCAAGGACCCGAGACCCTTCCGTCCCTGAGCTGACGCTCTGGCCGCTGAGCCAAACCGGCTCGGGCAGGAAATGTTGTTTTAGAAATGGCAGGGATGCTGCCAGAAAAATTTTACTATGATTTGTTGGAGGTAAAAGAATTAAGATCTGAAACAGGCAGAAAATTATACTTCTACCAAAAAAAATTATTTCTGTTGCATATTATGTGATTAATTCTAGTGGAAGTTGAAATTGGTAATCTTCACATCCTAGAAATATGAAAAGGCATTAGCCATTAGCTGCTGGTTGCTTTCTGAGTGTATCCCGTTCTAATCTTGCCAAGTCAGTTATGTAAGTGGCTTAAGGGGAAAGCCAAATGTAATGTTAAGAAGCATCAAGACCTTGGCTTTCCTTCGAGGAGTCTTTAAATGAGTACAAAAGTGGCTTCAAGGAACATCGGGGCACTTATTTGAATACATTCAGACTTGGCCATTGTCTGCCGGCTGAGGTATACGAACACCATGTCTCACCAATAAGGGGGGACCGGGTATTCGCCTCATGCCTCAGTGCAAAATAGTGCGTTTATTAAGTATGCTCTATAAAATGCCCAGAAAGATCGTAGACTTTCATGATTAAAAGCAACTGGTTCAGCCCTGGCTGGTTTGGCTCAGTGGATAGAGC